TGCAGCACAGCAACATGGCACAAGTATACATATGTAACAAACCTGCACGTTATGCACATGTACCCTAGAACTTAAAGTATAATAATAATAAATAATTAAAAAAAAAAAGAAAGAAAAAATATGTTTTCCATTGTTTGGGGGTGGAGAGTTCTGTAGATATCTATCAGGTCCACTTGATCCAGAGCTAAGTTCAGGTGTTGATTATCTTTGCTAATTTTCTGTCTCAATGTCTATCTAATATTTTCAGTGGGGTGTTAAGTTCTCCCACTATTACTGTGTGGGAGGCTAAGTCTCTGATTTTAACTGACTATATTGTATGTTTCCATTTATTCTCCTCTCTTGCCACTTAAAGTATACTTTTTTTAAATTTAATATTTGCCCTTGAGTTTGCAATATACATTTAGAACTAACTCAAGTCTCCTTCAAACGATACTCTGCCACCTCCCAAGTAGTGCAGTTATCTTATAAAGGAACATTCCCAATTCCTTTATCCCATCCCATATAACATTGTTGTCATTCATTTCACTGATACACAAGCTATAATCACCCAATACATTTTTGGCATTATTATTTTGAACAATTACATGTTAGATCAATCAATAATTTTAAAATACTTTATTTTACTTTGTTCAATCTTTCTCTAATAATTTTTTCTTTCTTTTTTTTTTTTTACATGAATTCAGGTTTTTGGCCTGTATTCTTTTATTTCTCTCTCTCTGAAGAACATCTTTTAACATTCTTTCTCTATTGCTCCACTGTCAACAAATTCTGTCAATATTTCTTTGTCTCAGAGTATCGTTATTTCTTTTTCATTTCTGAAGAATAGATCTGCTAGACAGAATTTTAAGTTGATGGTTCTTTCAATGGTTTAAATATTGGACTCCCGTGTGTGTGTGTGTGTGTGTGTGTGTGTGTGTGTGTGTGTGTGATGGAATCTCCTTCTGTCACTCAGGCTGGAGTGCAGTGGCATGATCTCAGCTCACTGCAACCTCCACCTCTCGAGTTCAAGCAATTCACCTGCCGCAGGCTCCCGAGTAGCTGGTATTACAGGCGCCTGCTGCCAGGCCTGGCTAATTTTTGTATTTTTAGTAGAGATGGGGATTCAACATGTTGGCCAAGCTGGTATCGAGCTCCTAACCTCAAGTGATCCACCTGCCTTGGCCTCCCAAAGTGGATGCCCATCTCTTATTGTTTGCATGGTTTCTGAAGAACATACCAATATAATTCTATCTTTGCTCCTGTATAGATAAGGTATGTTTTTCCTTCTTCTTTAAATATTTTTTTCTTTCTCTTTAATCTTCCAAGGATGAAACAGTATGCTAGGTGTAGTTCTTCTCAAACATTTATTGTTGTTTCTTAAAATCTCCTTCTTCTCTTCCTAGTGTTCCAATTATATATGTGTATTATATGCATTTGTAATCATAAAATTATTAGATAGTCTGTTCTGTCTTTTTCATTCTTTTTCCTCTTTACTTTCAGTTTTGGAAGTTCTTGTTGACAGATCTTCCATATCACTGAAGGTTTCCTATTTTGTATACAACATATTGATGAGCCCATCAAAGATGTTCTTCATTTCTGTTATAACTTTTTTATTTCTAGCGTTTGCTTTTGATTCTTGAAGTTCCCATCTGTCTTCTTACATTACAGATCTGTGCTTGCACGTTGACCATTTTTTTCCATTGTGGCCCTTAACATATTAATCACAAATGGTTTCAATTCTCAGTCTGATAATCTCAATATCTCTGCCATATTGCTAATCTTGATGCTTGCTTTGTCTTTTCGAACTGTGATTTTGTCTTTTAGTATGCCTTATAATCGTTTTGTTGAAAGCCAAACATGATGTACTGAGATAAAAGAACTGGGGGTATTTGGCCTTTAACGTGAGGTTTTATGTTTCCCTGGCTAGGGGTTAGTCTGTGTTTACTGTCTGCTGTAGCCATAGGTTTCAGGTGTAAAATTTTCAACTCGTGCCATTGTTTCCACCTCCTCTGTTGTCTTTGAGTTTCCCTAGAGACTTCTTAAATAACACCTATGATGTACAGTTCTTCTGGTTTATATAGAACCCCCATTATAGAAAATCCCTATTGGTGTAGTGATAAGGTGTGTGGAGGCAAGGAGAGGAAGTATTTTATAATCATATGATTAGGTCTCAGTCATTTAGTTAGCATGTGCCCCTGCTCTGTGACCCTAACATGTGCTTCCCAATTTTATTCTGCTTTGACCCCTTCAGTAGGACAGGAAACCTAGACAGGACTGGAGTTGGATATTTTCTTTCCCCTAGGTCAAGTCCATTAGTTTCTTATAAAACGTTACTAAGTTAGGTTCTGATAAAAATAGTTTCTCTGAGGAAATTCCTTGTTAGAAGAACAGTAGGCTTTGGAAGTAGTATTTCAAAATGGCTACTTTTTCCCTCCCTGTGCAAGAAGCAAGAGAAGATTTCTCTCCAATCTTCACCTGGGAACACAGTAGGGCTCCTGAAGGTAAAACTTTTGAAATTGTGTGAGGCCCCCAAGATCCCCCCACCCGACCACCACATACATTTTGACTCTTAAACTTTTTCAAAATGAACCTCCAGCAAGTGATCAATTATAGTTTAGGTTTTTCTACTGCTGTGCTGGTTCCCCTGAAATTTTCTGCTCCTAGGCTTCTGTTCTAGCAAGTTCCAATTCTTTGTATCTGCCTGTCTTTCATTCAGTTTTGGGAAGAGTGGTTTTCCCATTACCTCGGCATATTGATAAATCTAATAATGGTTGTTAATTTTTAGTTTGTTCAGCTTTTGTTCTTATTGTGTGAATTGGAGTAAAAACTTCTAAACCCCATATATGCTAGACCGGAAACCTGAAGTCACACTTAAATTTTTAATCATCACAGTAACCTTACAAGTCTGATTTCTTTAATATGGCCATCTTACAAGCAAAGGAAACTGACTTAATGAGCACCTACTTCATGTGACTAAGGTCATATAGTAAAAGAAGTCTCAAATGTCTATGTAGCTTTAGCACCCACAAGTTTAAACATCATATTTTGCTAACCCACGTATGCATCCATTCAGGCTTAATAAAAGTCTTGTCAATTCTAGTCTCCATACACCTTTTTTTTCTAGTCTCTATACACTTTATGATGTTTCCTATCTACATCACTTGTAGTTCGTTCTCAATTCCCTTTGCTGGCTACTTCTCCTCTATCTATCTTCAAAATATCAGAGTTAACCAAGGCTCTCACATGACTCCCATTTCTTCTCCATCAACACACACATACCCTGGGTTTTTGCATCCATTATTATAGGTTAGAGATGCTATACTGTATCAGGTTTATTAATACAATTCATAATTATTATTGTTAACACAGCTCTTGATGCCCTACTAAAATGTCCAACTCACCAGAACTTCCACCTACAATATGCTGAAAATCATATGGGTTGTTTGATCGGCCATAGATCTTGTTACTGGATTCATACCACATACACAACTCACTACAGTTGGTTATGCCAAGGGGAATGGCACCAGCTTCCTTCAGTAATGCCACCACAGTGGCATCTGTTTTGGAAATGGCATCACGGCGGTTCATGAGTCCAGAAGAATTGGGCATTCCTAAAAGAGCCACAGAAAGTAATGTTTAAAAGTTATTAAATAAAAATAATTGTTTTCTCCTGAGGGGCAAGATGGCCAACTAGATGTAGCCAGAAGGAACATCTCCCACAAAGGGTTGGGGCATTGGGAAGACTGGTTGGGGCATTGGGAAGACACAATCCTAGCAGATCTTCAGAGAGAAGGCATTGAGGGTGGATGGAGGGAAGACACAGATGCTGGGCTGAATGGGGAGGAAGTTGGGAACCCTGCACAGGGCTACTGTTCACTGGGACTTGCTCCTGGCTCCCAGAAACACCTGGGGGAAAAGGTGAGTTGAACAGTCAAGGAGCAACCAACTTTCAACATGGGCCTCTGGAATCATAGCAGGAAAAATACCCTTGACCGCCACGGACACTTGGATTAGCAGGGAGAGGTGCTCAGAGAAGTGGTAGGGGCAGAATTCAAGCTGGAGCAGAGCTGGAAGACCTGATGCCAGAACATCTGGAGGAGCACAACAAGGGTTGCCCATGCCCCTAGGCTTGACTGCCTCCCACAGGAGACTTAAGCCCTAGGGGAACTGTCAGACCTGAACTCTGCAGGGTGATTTTGCCCATGAGACAGGGCCAGTCCAATCTGAGCACCCCTCATTCTGCTGGCTTCTCCCAGGGCCCCAGTCTGGCCATGCTTGCTTGCAGTGCAGCCCCTAAGTACCTCCTGGGGTCCTGCATCACAGTTCCTGTGCTGGTGGACAGCATCTGACCTGCAAAGTCCTGGAACAGAGCTGCCCCAGAAGACAAGCCCAGCTAGCCCATATCCTCCCACTACAGCAGCCTCCCCTGTGCCACTTTGCCTACATGCACTCACCCATGACGACCTCCAACATTGCTTTACTGGTACTCGTGTGTGTGGGGAGGGGGGGGGAATCTTGTCTTCCCTTCTCTACCAGTACACATAATTGTGTGCACCCTGCCATGCCACTACTCCTGGCATGAGTGCACAGCACCCTACCTCTTCCCCCCACTGCACCACCATTGTTGTCAGATCATTGGCAAGCAGAAGGCATGCCAGCACTGCCCCCACCAGTACCCCCTTTCTGTGCTGAAACAGCTGCCGGCAGAAACTAGGCATAGAAAAAATGGACCCGCCCGCACCCTGAGTAGCCACCGCCACCTGCAGGAACATGCATAAAAGGCCCACACAGACCTGTGCCAACCAGAGCACCCTAACCCCATGATAATACTGCCACCAGTGTGAAGGTATGCACAGTTGCTGCCGGGAAGCCCTATGCCTCCTAGTCGTGCTGTCAATGCAAACACTTGCATGACGGCCAGCCAATGGCCCACAAAAGGCAATGCTGTCAATACTGGCAATTGCTGCGAATGCTCTCACAAAGGTCAGCACCCTGGCACCTGCTAGCACCATGCTGCAGCTGACGAGCATAAACCCATACATACTGCAGTGGGAATTGCAACTGGCACATAAGAATAAGGGCAGATAAGGCCGGGCGCGGTGGCTCACGCCTGTAATCCCAGCACTTTAGGAGGCCGAAGTGGGCGGATCATGAGGTCAGGAGATCGAGACCATCCTGGCTAACACGGTGAAACCCTGTCTCTACTAAAAATG